AACACTTTCAGACAGAGCAGACTATTCTTTCCTGTTAGCATGATGGCTATATGAACTGCACCCAGTAACACCTTACAGGCATTACATATCTCTATTACAGCCCTCCAAATAAACTGATACAGTGAATGCCACAGTAGTATTACTATGGAACAGATTTATCAAGAGTTCATTGCAACTGAAGAACGATCAAAAATTTTCATATGTCCAGTCTTACTGAGGTCAACAGGAATGCTTCCAACAGCTTTATTAAGAGATGATCAAACCAGTAGTACATGTTATTTAAATGTTTGAAAGCTATTCAGGTCACTCATTAAAGGCTAAGTGATAGTTTACACACCGAGCTGGACACTTCTTTGTTCTTAGTTTGTGGACTAAAGTCTGAGTGAAATCCCATTACTGCAAGCCAGCAAAACGTGGTCATGCTAAGTTTCACAAAGATGGTAGAAGAGGGGTGCCTTCTGGATGCCTAGAATGGGAGCACAGTGTAATAAAGAGATATCCATGATAACTACAATAGTCTAAACACCTCTACAAAATTTTCTGGTAGACCATGAGCTGGCCTTGAAAGACTCAAAATAACAAAGTGGAGGGGGAAAGAACTGAACAGCTGAAAGCATTCTGCAAGGCAGAAGACACTGCCAAGAACACAAACTGTCATGGCCAATGACATACAAGAATCTTTGGAGTAACTCCTATCTGATGCCATGTTGTCAGTGAGAAAGTTTAGTGCCTGTAACATTAAGACTTAATTAGTGCAGTGAGCTGGTGTCATGTCTTTTCCCCAAGAGATCAGGACTGATTATTGGTAGAGGGCTTTAACATATCCCATTATTCCTTTCAAGCTTCCCTCAAGCCTAGACCTGGGACAGACTGCCCCGCAAGTTTCCATTACCTGAACTGCCCTCTTGATTTCTTATTCCAATATCCATAATCTCATGCTGAGATTTGAATTCCAGTTTTTGAAAGGCAGAGGGTTAATCTACCAACTAAGACTCAACAACTATCCCTTCCACTTACTTAGTGCTCAAAATTGAGACTTCCGCATAGTGCAACCTAACACTCACACATAAAGCATCACTTATTACCACACACTTCAGAGAAGAGGACTGTGTTGGTCACTGGGATTTTACTTCTCAGTAGATTTAACTTTTCCTTGATCCTCCACTTTTTTGATGGCAGCTTGGATAGCTTCTTGATCACCCAGAAACTGGTGAGGGCCCACAGGGTGCAGATTTTCATCGAGTTCAAGAAGTATGGGCACGCCAGTGGGGAGAGTAACACTGATGATGTCCTCATCGGAGATGCCTGCCAAAGACAAAAGCCCGTAGAGTTACACCTAGCGCAAGGCTTCCTCATTGCCCATCTGACTCAGCCTTATTTCTGAAATTACCCAGGCTTCAAACAGGCAAGCAGCTGCTGACAGAGGCTGGAGTAACAGCAGCTACTCTCAAGGGTCCGTTCCTATCTAGACCACAGCTTGGAAAGAATGGTTTAGCAACAGCTTCAGGAGGGAATTCCCAGCAAGGTGAAGACTTTCTTCACTTTTTGGTCTACACATGTGGACTGAAGCATGAAGAGACTCTGCCCTGGAGAGTGTATATTTCCTATATTAAAACAGTCCGCAGAGCAAGCTCTCCTCCACATCTTCCCAACCCATACATGCTAATACAACACAAAGCTCAAGAAGATCAGAGCCTACAGGTGCTACTCCAACATGAAAAAACCTCTGCTAAGCAACCAGTACAAACAACCTCTGTGAGGACACAACGTATCAGGGTTAATCTTTTTCTTCACTTTTCCGAGTTTGTGCAAGAAGCCGATACAATCTCTGAAAAGCAGTATTTAAATTCTCCTAGTGTGAGGAACAGTGTTTGCCCACATTTGATTGCTCAGGAGCAAGTTTGCAGTACATTACTATTCCCTATGTTACTGTTCCCAGAATTATTAGATACAAGACAACTCATTTCTGCTTTTAAATGAGGGAGAGAGGGGAAAGAAAGGAAGGGAGGAAGAGTCTTCAGTTTCTGCAACTTGGAGCAGTTTCCTGTATTCTTCCATTTCATCAAAACAAGATGTACCTGGGGATGAAAATAAACTATTTCATCTAGCTGTATAATTAAGACATTCAGGGGACCTACTTTCAATGAAATTGTTGCTTATTTTTACTTCTAAAACACAAGCTTCCAAGCATCTAAGTAAGTTTCAAGAACAAGCCTTTGAGTAAAGTTTTCACAAAAGGCCTGAATAATTCTGGGCAAGAGAGGACTAATGACATTGGGAATAGTTTCCCTCCTCCCCCTTTTTGGTAACACTGAGGTCCCATGACAGCCTGTTGTTTTAAAGCAAGACAATTTCAAGTAATCCAAGTTTAGAAAATAATACAATTAAGCTCTTAAATAGATAAACTAGACCAAGGGGCAAGAGAAAAACATCCTCTGGAGCAGCTGACAAAACAGAGGGCTGTCTGAACACACAGGTGTAAGTTTACCAGTGATTTTCACATTAGGCAGAAGGGGAGGGGGAAACTAAGTTCTGATAATGAGTCATGATGAACTCTTTTTAAAGAGAGAGTACCAAAACCTTTAAGCTTACTCTCTGGTCTCAAACAGGTGAGAATCATTTTATTACCCTGCCCTGAGACCACACAAGTATGGAATTTTTGCAGAGACCTATTCTTGCCTTGATTTAGCCTAAAGTATTTATTTTGAGATTAGCCCTAAATTTCAGAAGAGCACAGAGCTGGAGAAACAGACAAATCCTTGCAAGAGCCTTACAGCTTGTCTTACATTGAGCCATAGTCCATTTAAAATAAAAACGTCATTCTGCAAGTCAAAGCCATCCCTTCTTACAAGGGATACATAATTCACTTGTTCTAGGCAGGAGGACCAGAGACTCACAGAAGAGCTTTCAAGGAGTACCTGAAATTTTAAAACCACACAGATGCCAACAGAAAAAATACCAAGTCTGTTTACCAGACAAAGCACTGTGCTCAAAAATTTTGATTTGCAAAACTAACAGCTGAGCTGTCTGAGCTACCATTTCAAAGATTTTATAGCAATGATTTATACTGATGTCACCATGCATCCACAGAGAATCTGACCCTAGGGAGTCTGCCTGCCACCCCCCCTCCATTCATTCTGGACTAAAACATTTGGATTTGCACAAAGCAGATGAAAACATGCAGGAGAATTTGGGTAAACCACATAATGTGGTCAGCAGCCAGGATATTTAAGGAAGTCCTCTAAAAATGGATTAAATAAAGGAGCTTAAGTAGCTACACAGATTCAGAAATAAATTTTACCCTTTTCATAGCACAGAGCAACCACACCAATGCCAACTACAGTACTAATTTACAAGGCAAAAAGAAGGCAACCTAGAATAGCCAACACACTTGCTGCAACTTGCTTTTCCTCCTTAGGATTTTGTGTGTGGAAGAAGTGTTGCCTCACAGACAGAGGGCCCGAACTGCAGGTTGAAGACAGAAGAAAATCCTGAAGAGACACATTAACGCCCTGTTGCTTTATTTCAGCACGGTTACAGTATTTGCATAGGGAAATCTATTCTTCAGCAAGCAAGATGCTTATCAGGTTTGACACACAAGCTCTTCAGTTGCAAGCTAAATGCACACAGACCACACCCCAATAGGCTAGAAGAGCACTAAAGAGAGCACATCTTCCACTCTGGCCCTTGCAGGGGTGAGCAAAACCTGCTATCCAGTTACTTCACACGCTCTAACTATAGCCAAGTGACCTTTTCTTGCACTTCAGCATCTAAGATGGCCTGTCTTACAAAGAAAGGAAGAGGGGTGAAACCAGGGCAAGGACTCCACCGCCAAGTACAAGGTGCAGCGGAAAATAGAAGACTTTTGCAGAAGCAATACTCTTCCCACCAAGGTAATGCCAAAGCCTGGGCCTCAGCACTGCTGAAGCATACTGCACTGCTAGAAGTAGGGGTTTTTTTCCCAAGGAGGTTTAAAATTAAGGTCTTGCCTATTTATAAACATGTTATCCCACAGCACTTAGTGAGGCTCAGGATGTCTTCCTCAGGACCTCAGATAAAATGCCGACTGGGCAACTGCATTCTACCTAGTTCAAATTCTTCACAAAAATTTCAAGTGGACATTTCCCATTTTGTCTCATGAACACTTGTTAAACATTTCCTGCTATACAGCTGCTGTTGAGGAGCAGAAATTAGGCACACAATCACTATAAAGACCATTATAACGATTTGCACAGCATTTTTATATTAAAAAAAAGTTATCTCAAAGTCACATTCAGGATTCCTTCCCAGCTAACCTCTGCTTCAATTAACTGAACTGCATGATTAAAAAAATGCAAGCCAGTACTACTTTATGGCTTTTTTTTTTTTTATGGTTACAATATGATCCTTCATTGAAAGATGTAGTTTTTAAGACTGACTTTGCAGATACAGTGCATAAAGAACACATCTCTGCAGGTTTAAGCATTCACCTTTATCTAATAGATCATAAAGTGCTTGGAAACATTTACATTCTAGGAAGTTCTACAGATGCAAAACCCATGGCACTTGATTTTGACCATCTAAAGCCAACTTCTAAGAGTTGGTTAAGCTTCTCCCTCCCTCTTATTTGTTCTTACCAGGTTCTTTCCCTGCATCCTGATGGACAGAAAGGCACCAAAACATAAGAACACAACAATCACTGAAACTAGCTACACTCCTCCTCCCTTGAATGTCAACTACGTTTGAGGCCAGATGACTCATCTAACAAAACATAAGATCACATGCATAGATTCAGCCACAACAGGCTTGCTCTGCAATTGCTGCTTTGTAATAGGAGATCCAGACCTCCTTGTATCCTTCCTGCAAGCTTAGTGAAAACACTGAAGCTTTAGTTGAATAAGCTAAACACTCAGGGCCAGATTCCACCCTCCTTAATTTATTAGGTAGTCCTCAACACACAATTCCCACCAGGACTCATTATGTGTGGCTCCAGCATGTAAGCTATGGAGCACCATGACTGTACCAGTATCACACCCACAGTAAGGCAAACAAGTAAAACCCTTGAGGGCAACTGCTTTCCCTGCTCACGAGCTGGAGGGAACAGTAACAGGCCCTCCCCAGTCACCACTTTCAACCTGTGAGACCAGTTAAGGAGCTCTGACCCAGCTCTGTAACCACAGCCAATCAAGCCCAAGAGGTGGCACGTTTGCATCTTTTTCCCCCTCAGAGACTAATTCTCCCTCACCCCCAGTTTTACTGGGCCTCATCACCCAATTGTTCAGAAACTATCATTCCATATCTAGAAGGTAGGGCAACATTTCAACAGAAAGGAAAGCATAAAAACGTTAGGTTTTGTGAACCCCAGGGGTCCCTGTCCTGAGGTATTTAATGCCAGTCCCCAGGAGAAACTGGTCAGGAGAGAAAGAAGAAACACATTGGGCCAGATGGCAGCATACAATTCCCTCTGCTACTCACACGGAACAAACAGTGCACTAGACCTAGTGTTCAATCACTCCTTCAACAGAAGGAAGGCAAGCTAGTCACAGCTATTGTGCTAACGGTATCAGTTATCAGATAAAAGAGCAAACTGTTCCTCCTTTGAAGGATTTGAGATAATCACCTGTAAATAGACTCTATGCATTTAGGATGCTTATTTAGCAGATTTTAGCAACTGATGTTTCCGTAATCAGAATTTCGGCATCCAGAGTGAAATTTATCTAACAAAGCTGATGTAATTGTTTTGATGGTCTCCTCATTTCTTGAGGTCATTGGTCTTTCAGTGCAAGGACATACCATATCATAAAAGAAAAAATATGCCCTGTGTGAAGACCTGAGTTACATGCCATAGTCCATTCCAGTCAGTGTCACCCAGAATAGTTATTAAATCATAACAAGAAGCATACTCCAGCAAACTGCCATAAGAGGAAAAGTGTCATACTTTCAAAGAGCCTTCCCATCCCTATGAAAACCAAATAAAAATCATCTCTTGCTTTGTCAGTTTTTAGTGGTGCCAATGATTCTTAGCATCATTACAGGTATTCTTTGCATCATCTTCAGGTGATAATCGCTCTGAAAGGACTGGACAAGCCTAGTCACTAAACTCAAATTTGATGCCAACATTGCACCTTACTTGCGTTGAACCAACAGGATTGTACAAAACAGCGATTTGCACAAAAATGGTCATGCTTGTCTGTGGTGGCATTCACCAAGTTTATGGTTATCACCTACAAAAAGAAAGTCAGCTAAGCACCCCCACTGGAGGCCAACAGCTTCTAGCTCCAAGATGTTCAACAGCACACTCTGAGGAAGGGTTACGCCAATCTACAGGGACAGAAAAGCAAGCTCTCAGAGCAGCTACTGTTTCTGATCTCCAAGTGCATACAAGAGCATGGCCAGGATTGTGTTAAACACTGTTTTCAGCAGAATTACGGGAGGGTTGTCTTTTTTTTTTTTTTCTCCTCCAAATAAAGTCATCTCTCACGGAAACTGTGACAGATCCTGCAGATATTTTCATACACCCTAGTGAGGTCCGCTCTGAGCACTGAAAAAACAAAAACAAAATCCAAACCCACAATCAAAGTCTTGTTAGCTTGATGTTCTGCTGCTCTGATGATTTTTTTTGTGTGCGAGTGGAAAGTAAGGCCACAACATTTCAAGCTCTTTACCAATTAATCATAACAAGAAAAACATTCAAATTTGAAGAACTGCAAGCCCGTTTTCAAAAAAAAAAAAAAAAAGAAACACTTCTTTGAAATAGCAACTTTAAGGGTAACCTGTGAAACCTTTCAGAAAAGGCATTCTCTGAACAGTTTCACCCTGGAATGTCTAGGATTAACTGTTTTTTCAGACCCAAGTTGAATGAAAACATTTATTACTGCCATTTAAAGTTTCCCAGCAATAGCCTCAAAGACTTAAAGTTGTAACTATGAGTGATATCAGAGCAGTCATGTACGCCTGGATGTCTTAAGGCATTTGGCATTTTTTCTAAATGCCAAAGAACCCACGGCTCTGGCTAAGATAAACAGCTATAGGGGCTTAGAAACTTCTACTCGCATGCAGGGCACACGAAGCCTGTCATGAAAAAAAAAATACACACAAAATAAAGCCCACCCCACAGAGCAGATGCTAGGAGTACAGCAGGCTGACCAACTTTAAGCACTGTTGAACTGGGTCCAACTTGGGCAAGGCTCCAGAGCAGCAGAGGCTCACAACCTTTCAGGAGACAAAGGGAAACACAGTCAGCAATGCAGACAAAGAACCTCTTATATTCAGACAGATGTAGGTGGGAGTTCTAAGAAAAAATGTAGGTTGCGGGTGGTATCAGGTCTTAAGGCTTTCCAGTCATGCAACCTTCCAGGCCAATTCTGCAGCAATTCAGATCTATACCACTTTAGAGGCAAAAGAGCCATCACTTATCTGGCAAGTGCTCCTGCGTGGGAGCTGGGGCAGCTGATGGACAGCCCTTGGTCAACAGAACTAGATCCTCTGCCAAGCTGTCCTCAGATTTCACTACATGCATGTACACCAGGAGGGTCTAGTGAGGTCTAGTGTAGTACAGACAAGGGATATAGCTCTACCCCACCTTGCTTTTTTTTTTTTTTTTTAAATATTAAACAGCTGTAGCGTGGCCAGCCCTTGAGGAGTCAGACCTAGCTAACAGAAAGTCTCAAAGAGCTTTGCAGCTTCTCTAACTTATACTGCAGATGGAGTTATTCCAGCTTCAGCCTCAGCTATGATTAATCCCAAGTCTTACCAATGTAAGAGGGAATTCAGCCATACTGTCTTTAAAATAACCTTTACCAATTGCTGATACTGTCACCTCTAGCCTTGGTTTGTGCCTGCACACAACATGGCTCAGGGTTTCATGCAGAAACTGTGGTCAGCTTGCAGTATACCACCCTGCTTTGTTGGCATGTCTTCCTGAACTGGTTCCGTGCTTTTTTTTTTTTTTTGTGTTGTGTGGTGGGCCCAGCCCCCTCCACTTTTTTCCCTTTAATTTTTATCATTTCATATAGTTTGGATAAGCCACCCTGACCACATCGGGGTAACTGGCTACTGGCTTGAACCAGTCTTCCTCCTGCACCTGAGCAGTGATCTGTAGCCCAGAATTCACTACCTTTGTAGTTCTGGACAGCATTTGTATATGCTTATGCCCTGGGCATTTGACTCCTGCTAGAGGATCAGCTGTTCTGACTGTCCCAGAAAACCCTGATGCAAAAAGTACAAAGGCATATAGAGAGTTTTATGGCCAAAAAGAAAAAAAAAAAGCACAATAACACCCCACTACACACACACACACAGAGTAACAACAAAAGAATAGGCACAAGCCAGTCTGGGCATACCTACAACTACACATCTGCCAGACTGCACTCTCAGGTACATTCACTAACTCTACCCATAGAAATAAGGAAATCAATATAGTTCGTCTTCCAGCTCAGAAAGCCTGGAATTAGAAGCCATGTTATTAACAAGAAGGGGAAAAATATGGCAGCGACTTAAAGGTACACTTGCTTCCTTTTCGGTTCCCAAATTAATTAACAACCCTATGCTGAGCCACTACACTTAACTGTTCACTGACAGACATTTTCTATACTACAAAATGACAGTGCACATGCATAAACTTTAGCAAGTAGCTGCTCTCTACAAAAACTCCCTGTCACAGCAGCTTTTGTAAGTAAAGAGTTATCAAGAATAAAGTCTCAAAAGAAATAACCCACCACAGTAACAGTCAATTTCCTCCACAACTCCAAGACAAGCACTTTATTCTGCTGTTATAACAATGCTTGTTTAATGAACAGGTTATGACTTCAACTCCCCTGACAATGCAGCTGAATAAATGAAGGAAAAAAAATTTAGAGTCTGAGGTTTTCTATTGAGACTAACTCCAGAGTTAGTTTGGATACACTAGTTTAAAACAAGCAGTGAGAATTGAGGGGTATGGCTATTCAAGAGAAGAACTACATTAACCCAATTAATTCTTCCTCACCTCTCTCATTCCCCAGTTTGATTCTTCTTCCTGTAGGTCAGCTTTTCACTTTCTCCTTGGAAACCACAGATGGTGGGTTATATCATCCAAATGGGAGTATTGCATGCTAGAGAGCAAACTGCACTTGCTACGCTTAACTTAGAAGGGTGCAAGGAAACGAGTAAGGAGAACAGGGGAAGATTAAGAGAACCCTTACCTTCCAGATGCTTGAGTAGTGCCCTGCTGCTGTTGCCATGGGCAGATATGAGGATCATTTTGCCACTTTTAAGTTCTGGCACTATCTTTTCATTCCAATACGGAAGAAGTCTGTCAAGCACATCTTTTAAGCTTTCAGCCTTTGGGAGATTATCCTGAGAGACATCACTGACGTCACTGCATTTATATCTGCGATCATTGTATATCTCTTCATAGTATGGATGAGATTCGGTTATGGGAGGTGGGGTAACATCATAGCTTCTCCTCCATAGTTTCACTTGCTCTTCTCCATGATTCAGAGCCATTTCTGCTCTGTTGAGGCCAATCAATGCACCATAGTGACGCTCATTCAGGCGCCAGGAACTCTGAATGGGGACCCACTCTTGGCCCATCTCTTCCAGGACCAGCCACGCAGTCTGGATGGAACGGCTTAGTACAGAGGTAAAGACAAGGTCAAACTCAAAACCCAGTGCTTTAAGGTGTTTGCCACAGTTCCGAGCTTCCTTTATCCCATCACTACTCAACTTCTGGTCCACCCAGCTGCAGAAGCGATTCTCCTTGTTCCAGGCTCCTTCTCCATGTCTTAGGAGAACAAGCTTGTACTTTGCCATTTTGGTTGCAGCTTGGCACAGATGAAGATTGGTCTGGCATCTAGTAATGATACATCTGAAGAGATACAGGTGACAGATATCAACTACATCCCATATAAAAAGCCTTACAAGTAGTAATATGGCAGCAGAGAGCACACAATTATCAGGATCAATACAATCAATTGAGAAATAGGTGTTTACCAAGCAAGTTTTCACCTTTGAGGTCTCCTGGCTTCCCTCTCTCATGTGAGAGGCAAGAGTACTGTCTACAGATTTCCCGCATGTCCTTAAACAGCGACTAAGTCAACATCAGTGGCTCCCAACCAGCAAAGCAGATCTCACTGGTGACTCATAACCTCATTAGAGGTGAGACATGGAGCCAGACCTACGCTGGCTCTGCGGGAGTGCAAACGCGCAGACAGCAGCAGTGATCCTGAGCCAGAGCAACAGGAGAGAAGGACCACAGAATTCAAACTGGTGATCTACAGAATTTTATTAGTTTTCTCAAATGAGACTTCACCACAGCTATGCTCAGCTTAACGCGTTTCCTCACATTTCCCCCACCCTACCCTGCTAATTATGCCAATCTCTCTGCTTCATTTTTCCCCCAGGCCTCCTGCTCCTCCACTAGATACCTCTTCCCTCCCCCACCATTCCCCCAAATTCTACTGCCACATCACAACTACTAATTGTGTGTTGCATCCTAGAGTAAGTCCCCATTTCACACAGTCCAGAAGTGATCTCACAGAGCATTCCATTCTCTTTCTGACTTTCAAGTGCATTTTCCCCCTTTGTGTCTATGAATTACAGTGCCAGATTCGCACACACAAAGATTAATGTTTTTGGTTTTTGCTGTAGGCACAAACAGCATATTTTATGTCCTTATTAAATAATGGACAGCTACACATTCCAAAGATCAAATAGCACTGCATTTTTCTCTGCTCCTGTTGTCTAAGCAACAGTAGCCTCTGATTTTTCCTTAGTGGAAGTTGGACTGTGTCCTCCCACCCAAGTATTTCCAGTCCAGCCTAAAATATCCTAGCTATTTGTGCGAGGCCTGAAAAGTCCATCTAACAGAGTATTATGATTCTCTTGAGAGCCACCTAATCACTCTGACCCAAGATGTCAGAAGAGACAGGGACTGACTGAGCAGGAAAGAAGCTGCAACACTGCCTTGTACTGGGGGTGTCGCTGTATACTCAGAGGAGCACTAGCAGGCAAAATCTACTCAACCTCACCTTAGCATAGCAACCTTTCTCTTGACCTTTCCTCATATGGCCCCAAAATCATAGGCACGATTCGGGAGGCTGAAGAACCTGAGGTCCAATTTCTGCACATTGAGCTTAGGACCGGATTTCCAGAACATGTGTGTTTATGGAAGCTCCCATCATCCCAAATCAGTTGGAGCTGCTTGGAATCACACTCCAAGTCTCCAGGTGTCTCAAATCAAGAGCTTGAAAACCCTGGCCCACTCTAACCTTGAATTAGGTCAGTAGTATGGATAACGCTCATGCGTTGTGGTTTTAGGAAGCGTGGAGAACAACGTCAGCATTTGTTTTTACCAAAAAGCCTTTTAACAGCTACGTACAGAAGCTCAATTAGTTAACAGCCTCAGTAGTTTGATGTTGTCTCATTGAACAGCAACTTAATTTTTCTTTACTCCCAGGGAGCAGAGGGTCTACATCACAGAAGGACAAACTGCAGCCCCTCCCCAGCTCTGTAACTTCTTCTAATTACTAGTACAGCTCAGACTTACAAAGCCTTTAAGGACTGCCAGATTCTACGGAACATCAACAGGTATTGTCTGACGTATAGCAGTCAATTAGTAAATAGAAGGGAAGGTAGCAAGTGATAAAAAAAAAAGTTTTATAGGACAAGCTGGTTATTGGACAAGAAATCCCTATACAAATCTACTTTTTCGACTCATGATAATCTGCTACGTGTTACAAAAAGACCTCAACTCTGTTAGGACTCAAGTTCATGTTCTCAGATAGAGAACTAGCCTGCACCCTTTAAGACCCCAGTCTTACAGCAAAGGAACATTAGACAGCTTTCAATCTAAAGCCAAAGTACTCTCTCCCCATCGTGTCTCACGTACCATGTATACCATTAAAAATTGTATAGTGTGTTCACAGCATGAACTGCTACAAAAACTCCTAACACTGTAAAAGCTCCATCTCTTCAGATACTTCACCGTTCAGACTAACATACCTTATTATCCACAAGAACAGATCAAGTAATTTATAAGGCCAAATTAAGACGCAACAAAAAACCAAAACCCCTCAATACAGAAGATGTACCTGTTTACAGCCATTCTCAGTTGGGTACTTTCAGCCTGAAATAAGATATAGCTAAAGGAATACACAATAAAAGACTTGTACAGAGAGCTAAATTTATCTGGGGTCCATAAACTTCAGTTCAGTTACACACAAGATTAGGCAGAATCACTATTTTCAAACAAATTCTTAGAAAGGATTGGCAGTGATAGGTTCTTTAAATATCAGCCCACTTATGGAAGCATTTAGCTAGGAAGCCAGAGAAACACATGGAAATAATCCTACTCACCTTTCCTCCAGCAAGGCACCAACCTACACAAATCCCAGCACAGATTCAAGAGCTGCTCTACAGAGGCCACTGCACACTCTTAGTTAGTTACCTGCAGGAGGAGAACAAACACTGACTGCTCTCACAAGAGGAGACCACAAGCGCAGATGGTTATGCCAACTGTTACTTGCTCTCAAGACTGAGAGAAAAGAGAGCGCACACCCCCTGTACAGGCCAGGAAGGCTACCAGTTTCCTCCTCCCCAAAAGAGGCAAAGGTAGAGCTCCTGCATTTCCAACAAGGGAATGCAGCTACCTTGGTTCTAGTGCAGAGAAGCCTCCAGGACTTCACGGCTACAGATCTAGACAGCACACCTAGACCCAGTGTGAGACAGAAACACTAGAGAGCCCTGGCTCAGCACACAGCTAGCTGTGCACAATAACCTCTCACAACGGTAGACTTTTTAGCCTAGCACTGCTTTAAGGCCTAATTTCCAAAAACGATGATCTCCAGGAAACCTCACTCCAACCAGGTCGCACGCACCTGCCTAGCCCTTTTCAAACAGCCCCTGCATGCTGCATCTGTATCACCCAGCCTTCCTGGAGAAAGGCAGAGCTATCCAGCAGCCAGGCAGCGCTGCGGTGCTCCACCGCAACCAGAGGCGCTCCTCCTTGCGCCTCCCCCCCTCCCCCACGCGAGATGTCTCACAGACGGTGCCGTCCCATGGAGCCCCCTTTCCCCCCACAGCTCCCTTGTTTCCTCAGGGGAGCCTTTTTGCCCCAGCACCTACCTCCTCTTAGCCCCTCAAGCAGCCCCTTTGCCCACCCCGGAGCCGGGGCACCGTCC